TACGGTAAGTACTCAGTAGAGAACTACCAGGGACCAGCAGTTAGCGTAATGACTATGTCGCTGGATTCCCATATAGTCGACCGCAGTTCACGTCCCGGACCCGGTGGCTTAAAACTCACACTGGGCGCATGTGCGTGCGTGCCCAAGATCCCGAGAGGAGAATGGAGGAGAAGGGATTGCAGCGTGACCATCCCCCCTGAGGGGTGATTTCTCGCTTTCTATCTCTCTCTCTCTCTGTCTGTCTGGCAAGCGCACATGCCCTATAGCGAAAACCTCTCCAAAAAAAAAAAAAAGAGAGAGAACTACCCTCTTCATCACTCCACGCCTTGCCTGCCTCCTGCATTCTTCATACCAAACTCTCCTGTTCTCCCCCCTACCCCCAACTAGGTGCCCCCAACCAGGTGTTCCAGAGAACAGAGAGGAGTTGAGACTCCCAACATGTTCATGTTCAGGCCACTCCTTCTGATACAGCATTTTTCAAACCTGTGATTCCCATTCAAGTTGAGGCTGAGCTCTTGGGACACCAAAGCTTCTGAAGAGAAATGGGTACCAGCTGGATGAGACTCCTGACAGCCAGGCTCAGCACTTTTTAAAAATAATATTTTTTTATTTTATCTATGAATTCACTTATTTTAATTTGACCAGAGAGATACACACACGTGCACACACACGCACACACACACACACACACACACACACACAGAGTGAGAAAGCAAGCAACCAGATCCAGGACTTGAACCATGGCCAGCCAAGTGGGAGTGTCCATGGCCTTAACTACCACACCACCTACTGGTCCCCAGCATTTCTTTTTTTTAAAGAGATTTTTGTTATAGGGCACTTGTGCTCACCAGAGAAACAGAGAGAGAGAAAACGAGAAATCACCCCTCAGGGGGGATGGCCACGCCACAATCCCTTCTCCTCCATTCTCCTCTTGAAATCCTGGGCACACACACACCTGGTGTGAGTTTTAAGCTGCCGGGTCCGGGATTCTAACTGCAGCCAGGTATCTGGGAGTCCAGCAACTTAACCATTAGCCATCTAATGGTCCCTCAGCATGTTTCCAAATTAATTATCTGTATTAACACGACAATAGTTACCGTGAGATTTTTCAGTATGTGACTACAACGCGTAATGACTAAATCAGGGTAATTAGCATATTTAAGACATTATATACTGAAAGCTGCCATTAACCACATTCTCCCCACTCTTTAACACTGGACAGTGTTCCTCTTTTAAATTTTTAAAAATGAATTCCGCATTTTATTTATTATTATTACTTTTAATTTGCTATAGGGCACGTACACTCACCAGAGAGAGATGGTGTGGGGAAGAAAGCAAGCCTCTAGGTCTGAGATTTGATCCAAGAGTTGACCACGTGGGAGCCCAGCACCTCAACCACCACACCACCGGCTGCCCCCCCCCTTTTTTTTTAGATTTTTGCCATGGGGTATATGCGCTCTCTGGAAAGAGACAGGAAAAGTGAGAAATCATTCCCCCCCCCCCCCGGGGAGATGGCCACGCTGTAATCCTTTCTCCTCTCCTCTCCTCTCAGGATGTGGGGCACTCACACACGTGTGTCCTTTTTCAAGTCACTGGGTGGGTCCAAGACTCGAATGGTGGAGCCATTGGGGCCATGTTGGGGGCCAGCACCTTAACCAGCATGCCACCTGCTAGCTTACCTGATATTGTTCCTTTATCTACCTGCAATCCAGTTCAGCATTCTTCCATAGATAAATCTGCAAGTACCACTTTATGGATCCCAGGAGTGGCATTTGTAGTCCTCTGGTCCCCGCTTCCACATCCTATACACCCTCCTTACAGGGAGTCAGGGCTCATCTTCAAGCAGGGGCTTCTTCATCTGCACTCCGTGTTAAATTGCGTTCTCTTCTCTCCCTCTTTCTCTCTCATTGCAATGGCTTCCATTCTCGTCTACACCAACAGGCAAAATGGTGTACAGTTCTCAAACCTGGCTGCATATTAGCATCACCTGAAATCTTATACTCTGATTCTCAGGCTAAAGCCCAAACTAACTAAATCTGAATCTTTGGGACTAGGACTCGTGCATCAGAAGTTATTCTCCCATACAGGAAATTTGAGAACCAGTATTCTAGAACAGTGCTTCTCAAACTTCCGTGTGTACACGAGCCTTCTGAAGAGTGCGTTAAGGTGCATATTCTGATTCAGTAGGTCTGGGGCAGCGCCCAAGAGGCTGTTCCTGACAAGCGCCCAGATAAAAGTGCTGCTGGTCCCCAAGCCAAAGTTTGAGTAGCAAAGTTGTGGAACTGATTCTCAAACTTGAGCATGTATCGGAATCCTCTGGCAGGCTTGTGAAAATGCACCCCAGTTTCAGATTCAGTCGATGTGGAGTGGGGTCTGAGAATACACATTCTAACAAGCTTCCAAGATGATGGGGATGCTGCTGGTACCAGAGCACAGGGAGCAGCAAGGGGAGAGAAGGCGCATCACAGCTTTCGGAGGCAGGCCGCCCCGGAACCTTATCTGGCTCTATGCCATTCTAGCTCTGTGATCTTGGGTAAGTTACTCAACCTTTCTCAATTGTTATTTCATCACCCACCAAGTCATCATTATTGGGCAAGATCAACTGGGCTAATATGAATCACTTAACAGACTGCCTAATGTGTTGGTCCTCAGATTTGATAGCAAATTTGAATTACCTGGGGCGCTTAAAAAAAAAAAAAAAAAAACCTGCTAAGGACCAGCAGATGGCACAATGGTTAAGCTGTTGGATTCCCAGTGGCCAAATATGGTTCCAATCCCAGACAAGGAGGCTTGAAACTCACACCAGGCACATGTGCATTCGTGCTCAAGATCCCAAGTAGATAATGGAGAGGGGATCGCAGCATGGCCATCCCCCCGTGGGTGATCAGTCGCTTTCTGTCTCTCTGGCAAGAGACATGAACCCTATAGCAAAAATCTCTCCAAAAAAATGCCATAGTTGTGATTTAATTTGAGGTACAGAGAATGACTTTTTAAACTTTATATTTATTTATTTATTTATTATTTTAATTTGACCAGAGAGGGACAGAGAGAGTGAGAGAAAGTGAGAAAGCAAGCTGCCAGGTCTGGGACTCAAACTGCAGTTGGCCATGGGGGAGCCCAGCACCCTTAACCACCACGTCACCTGCTGGCCCCAGAAAATTATTTTTAAAGCTCCTCAGGCACTTCCATGCAGCCAGTACTCAGGACTATCCTAGTGTCATGGGTCCCAAACTTTAGTGTGACTCAGAATCACAGTCTGCTGGGATCCTCCCTCGTATCAGGCTCAGTAGACCCGAGTTGGGGCTGAGAATTGTCATTTCTTTTTTTTTTTTTTCCCTAAGGCTTTTGCCATAGAGCATAGGCACTTGCCAGAGAGACAGAGAGAGAGGAAGTGAGAAGTCACCCCCCACACACACACCCAGGGGGAATGGTCACACTGCAATCTGTTCTCCATTCACCTCCTAGGATTTGTGGCATGCATACAACACGCCCAGCGTGATTTTCAAGCTGCCAGGTCCAGGACTCAAACTGTGGTCTGCCATGTGGGAGTCTAGCACTCTAACCACCGTACCACCTGCTGGCCCCAAAATAGGCATTTCTCATGCATTTCCAGGTGTGCTATGCTGCAGGGACTGCAGTCTTCCTGTCAGGCCATGGTGACCAGAGCCAGCACCGGAGATAATCTTGGTTTGCCCAGGAGAGCACACGTGGGGCCTCCTAAGCTGTCCTGCCTAAGATACTTTAGAGGCCACCAGGTTCTGAGTGGGGGTGGGGCCAGCCCCTGATGGTGGGGAATCTTTCTGCAACAGGGAGGGAGGAACAGGAATAGTTTGTCCAGGAGATGACCAGGCCCCTGAGCTCAAACATGGCATCAGGGAGAAGAGAGGGAGTCTTGGCCCTGGTGACCCACAGTCCAGGAATAAGACGTGTGGCTGGAAGCCACACAGGGGCCTTTGGCTCAACATGAGGAAGAACTTTTTAACCTTGAGAACTGCCCTGTCTGGAAACAGCCCCAACTTCCTCTTTTGGAAAGGAGTTCCAGTCCCTCGTGGGAGGTCCCCCAGCCACGCGGAGCTGGAGAGCGAAGGGAAGATAGAGATGCAGGAATGGGAAGATCTCTGAGTCCCTTTGAAGTCTGCCCGCATATCTCTGCAGCCTCCAGTCGGTGGCCGGGCCCGTTAGTCCAGAAGCTTTCTGTTTATTTAAGGAGGTGACCGTCTGCAGCTTTCGCAACACACTGGCTTTCTGATGTTTCCCTTGCCTATCAGCAAGCGGTTTACTTTCCCAGAGCAAACAGGAAAGCCACAGCGCAGGACAAAGCCTGCAGGTCGGCAAGGTGGCGGCGCGGCAGCCTGAGCCACGCCGTGAGTGCAGTGGGCGGAGGGCTCGGCCCTCTGGGCTCTAGACACGCCGCGGGGTAGTGGGAGCTTGCCAGGCGGGTGGCCCTGGGATGCCAGGGGCCAAACACTTCCAGGGGCGGGGAGGAGGGAGGGGGAGGGAGGGTCCAGCCCACACCGCGGGCCACATCAGAGCACCAAGAGAACACCAAGTCTTTATTACAGGAATTCCTATGAAACGACTCCAAGAAAAAACCCACACAGGGAGGGGGAATAACAACGCCACACACACAGACACCGGACTGGGGTTCCCTCGCCGTGCGCTGCGTCCTGCGGCGGAGAGGGGTCAGGCCTTAGCCCCGAGGCCGCTCCTCTGCCCCGGTCTGCACCGGCTGGCGGCCCCGGGAGCGCCTTGGGGAAGGGGTGTTCTCCCTCCCTGCGGGGACCACGGGTCTGGCCGCAGCGAGCCCTCCTCCTCCCGCGGCCCAGCCCCAGCGCCCGGGCGCTGCGCGCGCTTCCAAACTTGGTCACGCTCCACAGCGACCACGGCGCGTCCTGGCCCCCCCCGCGGTCGCGGGTCTCCGGAGCGAGGGGAAGCTGGGCGGCCCGGAGTCGCGGCGGGAGCGCGGAGGGTACGAGGTGCGGCAGCCGCCACACCGACTTGGGGCCCCCACGGCCCCTCCAAAGATCGGATCCTTCTCCCAGTCTCCCGGGCCCGCGCGGAGCCCCGGCCCCGAGAGCCTCGAAGCCCCGTGTTTGCCCAGGTTTCCGGCTCTCGGGCAAGATCCGCGCGTTCCCGTGTTGGGGAGGGGCCAGAGAGACCCGGGCGCCCCCTCCCCTTGGCAGTGGTTGGTAGAATCGGAGTTTCCCTCCAGATCACCTTCTGGCTTTGAGCACGGGGGGCCCCCAGCAAGCCCTTTGCCTTGGGCGCCCCGACCCAGGCTGGCAGCTGCTTCACCTTGCTCCTCAGCCCTGCGTCTTATCAGGGCCGCCCGGAAGCCACCCTAGAGGACAGCAGGACAGCTAGTCTAAGCAGGGAGGCAGAGCCCCTGGGAGCCCGAGCCCCTGGGAGCCCCACTATGGCGGGACTCCGGAGCTGGCTTTTGTCTGCATCCAAACTGAAGATCCTGCCTAGCCAGATCCTGCTGGGTGAAGGGGAGGCTGCTGGGGGTCATACCAGCCCCTAAGAGAAGCAGCTGGAGTAACCCAGGCAGGGCAGACAGCAGAGAGGCCTCTGGAGTGACCCATCACTCCTCACAGGATGACCAAGTGACTGACTTGAGCTCTCCCACCAGAGCTCAGTGAAGGGTTGTGTGGAGGCTCAGGCAACCAGGGAAAGTCTGAGAGGCAGGAGACCTTGGGAAGCAAGGTGCCCAGAGGGAGTGGGGGTGGGACAGGGGACTAGGCCGGGTCTGTGGCCTCACAGGAGGGGAGGGGAAGGGAGGGAGACAGAGGCTCCACTGGTAGGGTCATCCTGCCCTGTTGCCTACTCCAACATCTGCCAGGTCCCTGGGTTGGTTTCTTGTTTGTTTGTAAAGAAAGGGGGTGGTTCCTGCATTTACACTTGTTCTCTGTGGAAAGCCTGGCTACAAAGGCCGCTATGCCTGGCTGCTGCCTCCAGGGGCCCCAGGTCCTTCCTCCAATCACAGGACATCAACTCCGAAGTTCTAAGTCCCATGGAAAGTGGCAGTGGCTTGGCTGGGCTGGACTGTGGCCGGAGAATCTGGGCCTCGATTTGCAAGCACCATCTGTCCGGCGGCAGCTGGGCCCTTCAGCTGGGTGCCGGTGTTGTCTCCGGTTGTCTGACCGTCGGATCATCTCCAGGAGTGGCTGGCATCTGGTGGGGGAAAACGGGTGGAAGTCATTTTCACAGGAGCCCAGTGGTCTCCTCTGGTCACTGGTTCCTACAGAGATAGTTTTGGACAGAAATTCCCCAAGACAGGTGCCCTCTCCTTTCTCCAGGGACTCCAGATCAGCCTTAGAACTCTGCCTACTGTCACCTCTCCCATCCGAGCTCCTAGGATGAGTGCAACCTGCAGAACAGCAGACACTCGGCAGTTAGAGATGGAGCGGGTGGAACTCCAGGGGGAAGAAGCTATATGGGTGGAGAGCAGGCATTTCGGGAGTGGGAGGAGCAACAGGAACCCAGAAGAGAAGAAGGAGAACCAGGGTTCCTGAGGTCACAGGAGCCAATGGATGGAAGTTCCAAGAAAGACAATGGGCATGATGTGTGGAAAAGAGCACCAGGAGAATGCACAAAAGGACGAGACAGAGCAGGACAAGGTCCTGGAGCTGCCACGTGACCTCCCAAGTCAATCCAGAGATGGTGAGGGGGGCTGCCAGCTGTAGGAGTTAAAGGACACCACCTTTTTGTAAATATCAAGAGCTCCCTGGTTGGTTTGCTTAGGTTTTTGTCATAGGGTGCATGCATGCACTCCTGGGAGAGACAGGGAAAGTGAGAAGTCACCCCCCCGGGGGGGGGGATGGCCACACTGCAATCCCTTCGCCTCCATTCTCCTCTCAGGCACCCACACATACATGCCTAGTGTGATTTTCAAGCCACTAGGTCTACGACTCGAACCATGGTCAGCCATGTGGAAGTCCAGGGCCTTAACCAGAGCCTCCTAATTTTTAAAGTGAGGAGGAGGAGGAGGATGAAACCTTGAGGAAGGAGCTGCAAGTGTCAGGAAAAAATAAATGATGAGCAAAGTTCCCATACACAGGTGGCTTTGGACAGGACCCATCTTCCCTGGGGACGAGTGGGAAGGAGGGGGGCTACCAGAAGCATCGCATGGGAGCAGCAGTATTTCCCTGGCTGGTTCTGTTGAGGCATTCCGGAGAAGTGGGGAGTGGGGGATAGCTCTGCAGGTGAGGAAAGCCTCGGGAGGATGCCAGGGGCTAGAAGACCTCTTAGGAAGTCGGCCAAGGGGCAGGTGGGGCCGCTGCCTGCGTGGAAGTGAGAGGGCACCTGTATTCCCTTGTGCAGCGCCCTCAGAGCCCAGGTTTATCTCACCTCCATTCTGGCTTTCCCGGGGGAGCATCACTTCGCCAGAGTCTGGAACAGGCCCCACCTGCCGCGTCTCAGCTCAAGAAAGTCTGTGGATGCTGACCCCTGGGCCCAGGACAGCGGCTTGGGGAAGGGCTGGGTGAGGGGTGGGGTGACAGTCCTTGAAGAGGCTTCTGTTGGCATGCCCTGTTTCTCCCCCAGGGGCACAGGGAGTCAGGAGGAAATTCAGCCCCGGGCTCAGGGCTCCTGCCAGGAAGTGCTCCCTTATTTGGTTGTGGCAGAGCCCAGACCACCGGCCCTAACTAAGGGATTGGCCACATGGTGTGTGCACGGCTGGGGAGGCCGCCTATGCTTTTCTTAGCTTGTCTTCTCTAGTGTGCTATGTGTGTCCTGGACTGTCTTCTCAACAGGATGTAAATAATTCAAGGTCAAAAGCTGATTTTGTTTTCCTGTTCCCAGCATCTGTCATAGGCAGGTGTGATTATCTGTTGTCAAGTGAATAGATAACCAAATAAAAATAAAGGCAGAAGACTCGTTTCTATGCAGAGCCCCGTGTCCCCGGCCACGACTATGAAAGAAGAGACTGCGGACCTGTGTGTCCCAGCTGCCTGAGCCCAGCACATCTAGATCCCTGGGGAGACCCATGAGGTGTGGTGGATCCTGGCCTTGGCAGACCCTGGCAGCTGTGGCTCTGGGCCTTACCTCTTACTGTCCTTCTCTTAGGGCTTCCTCCATCTTGGGCACTTCCTGCCTCCTTCCTCGTAAGTCTTCATCTGCAAAGCAGAGGGAAGCTGCCTCATCCTCCGCCCAGTAGGGTCTCACTCAGGCATGTCCCTAGCCTGGACAAGAGAGCTGACCCGACTGTCTGCCCCCTCCGTCTGATGGGGCACATGCTGATCCCCAGGTGGACAACACAGGGGTCTGGTGAGAGAGGCAACAGGACACACACATGCTAGCTGGCTCTGCCACTGGGCTTGGAAACCTTGGACAACTTCTTCTCTCTTTTTTGGGACTCAGTTGCCTCCTCTATAAAATGGGATGGAGAAGGGAATCAGCAGGTGGCGTGGTGGTTAAGGCACTGGTCACTCCCACATGGCTGACCATGGTTGGAGTCCTGGGCCTGGTGGTTTGCTTTCTCACTTTCCCTGTCTCTGTGTGTGTGTGTGTGTGTGTGTGTGGTCAAATTAATAAATGAATGAATAAAATTTAAATTATTTTTTAAATTAAAAAAAAATGGGATGGAGAAGTGTGATGTCCACATGACTTCCAAGGGCCTGATAGTCCTTGTTTCTGGATGTCTCCTGACCTGCAAAGGGCTTCCCTTGCTCTGTGACATGAGGACCAGGGTTCAGCCATGGGTCTGGTAGGGTCAGAGGCAGGGCCTTCTGGCCCATGTAGCCTTTGGAGGGGACGTGGTGAGCACTGAAAAGCCTCTGGGCCCAGAAACAGAAGCTACCCAGGGCTTGGTTCCCAAGATAAGGTGCCCCCATATGGGTAGGCCTGTCTGCCCCCCACCCTAGGGAATTTCCCCAGAAGCAGTGACTGGCACTGAGCTGTAGGTAGAGGTCTAGTTAGAGCCCCCTAGGGACACCTTTTAGGGCTTGATGGGAGGGAGAGGCAATGAGAGCCAAGTGGAGAGAGTCCTGTCTTCGGGTTGCCTGCCCACCACCCCTTGACATGCCCCCCAGGGTAGGTCCACCCATGAGACACCCAGGATCTCCTCTTGGAAGGGTGGCAATCAGGAACTTGGAGCTGAGGGCTCCCTTCCGGCCTCACCACAGGCATGGCCCTCCACGTCGTCCAGGAGATTGGCTGTTGATGCGGGGCACCTGTATTCCCTTGTGCAGCGCCCTCAGAGCCCAGGTTTATCTCACCTCCATTCTGGCTTTCCCGGGGGAGCATCACTTCGCCAGAGTCTGGAACAGGCCCCACCTGCCGCGTCTCAGCTCAAGAAAGTCTGTGGATGCTGACCCCTGGGCCCAGGACAGCGGCTTGGGGAAGGGCTGGGTGAGGGGTGGGGTGACAGTCCTTGAAGAGGCTTCTGTTGGCATGCCCTGTTTCTCCCCCAGGGGCACAGGGAGTCAGGAGGAAATTCAGCCCCGGGCTCAGGGCTCCTGCCAGGAAGTGCTCCCTTATTTGGTTGTGGCAGAGCCCAGACCACCGGCCCTAACTAAGGGATTGGCCACATGGTGTGTGCACGGCTGGGGAGGCCGCCTATGCTTTTCTTAGCTTGTCTTCTCTAGTGTGCTATGTGTGTCCTGGACTGTCTTCTCAACAGGATGTAAATAATTCAAGGTCAAAAGCTGATTTTGTTTTCCTGTTCCCAGCATCTGTCATAGGCAGGTGTGATTATCTGTTGTCAAGTGAATAGATAACCAAATAAAAATAAAGGCAGAAGACTCGTTTCTATGCAGAGCCCCGTGTCCCCGGCCACGACTATGAAAGAAGAGACTGCGGACCTGTGTGTCCCAGCTGCCTGAGCCCAGCACATCTAGATCCCTGGGGAGACCCATGAGGTGTGGTGGATCCTGGCCTTGGCAGACCCTGGCAGCTGTGGCTCTGGGCCTTACCTCTTACTGTCCTTCTCTTAGGGCTTCCTCCATCTTGGGCACTTCCTGCCTCCTTCCTCGTAAGTCTTCATCTGCAAAGCAGAGGGAAGCTGCCTCATCCTCCGCCCAGTAGGGTCTCACTCAGGCATGTCCCTAGCCTGGACAAGAGAGCTGACCCGACTGTCTGCCCCCTCCGTCTGATGGGGCACATGCTGATCCCCAGGTGGACAACACAGGGGTCTGGTGAGAGAGGCAACAGGACACACACATGCTAGCTGGCTCTGCCACTGGGCTTGGAAACCTTGGACAACTTCTTCTCTCTTTTTTGGGACTCAGTTGCCTCCTCTATAAAATGGGATGGAGAAGGGAATCAGCAGGTGGCGTGGTGGTTAAGGCACTGGTCACTCCCACATGGCTGACCATGGTTGGAGTCCTGGGCCTGGTGGTTTGCTTTCTCACTTTCCCTGTCTCTGTGTGTGTGTGTGTGTGTGTGTGTGTGTCTGGTCAAATTAATAAATGAATGAATAAAATTTAAATTATTTTTTAAATTAAAAAAAAATGGGATGGAGAAGTGTGATGTCCACATGACTTCCAAGGGCCTGATAGTCCTTGTTTCTGGATGTCTCCTGACCTGCAAAGGGCTTCCCTTGCTCTGTGACATGAGGACCAGGGTTCAGCCATGGGTCTGGTAGGGTCAGAGGCAGGGCCTTCTGGCCCATGTAGCCTTTGGAGGGGACGTGGTGAGCACTGAAAAGCCTCTGGGCCCAGAAACAGAAGCTACCCAGGGCTTGGTTCCCAAGATAAGGTGCCCCCATATGGGTAGGCCTGTCTGCCCCCCACCCTAGGGAATTTCCCCAGAAGCAGTGACTGGCACTGAGCTGTAGGTAGAGGTCTAGTTAGAGCCCCCTAGGGACACCTTTTAGGGCTTGATGGGAGGGAGAGGCAATGAGAGCCAAGTGGAGAGAGTCCTGTCTTCGGGTTGCCTGCCCACCACCCCTTGACATGCCCCCCAGGGTAGGTCCACCCATGAGACACCCAGGATCTCCTCTTGGAAGGGTGGCAATCAGGAACTTGGAGCTGAGGGCTCCCTTCCGGCCTCACCACAGGCATGGCCCTCCACGTCGTCCAGGAGATTGGCTGTTGATGCGGCAGCCCCCAGCCTGCCAGGCCATTCAGGAAAACTGCCCCAAGGATGGCTGGGTCCTGCCATAGTCTGCCCCGTTCTACCTACTGCCTGCCCCAACCCTCCAAGCTCAGAATGCTTCCTCCAACCTGCCTGACCCCCAGCACCCCAATACTTACCCTACTCTACTCATGTTCTTGGAGTCAGCTAAGCAGCCAGGCCTTGACCCTAACCTTGCTCCCATCTCTGAGGACAGAGGAGCAACCTTCTCCCTGCTGCTCTCTGGCTGTGCAGTCTCTGGCACCCTGGGCCTCCAATAGCATGATGAGCGTTAGGGGGAAAATGTGGGAAGTCTTATTTCTACAGGAAACAGAAAGTGTGAAGGCAGGCCCAGCACCAAAAGGAGCAGGTAGGCGAGTCCACAGACCAGAACAACTAGAGAAACTAGGCAAAGGGTTGCTGTTTCCATAATAGAGCCATTTTCTTTTCTCCAAAATACAGATCATCCCAGACCCAAAATAAAATTAAGTGATAGGACAACTTCTAAGCCTACAGGAAGGTAAGAGGCACTCGGCAACTCCCACTCCCTAGGCCTGGTCCCCGGCACATGAAATTGGCGGGGAGGGACAGTTGCTGGCTGGCAAGCCTACCCTTGGGGGCGGGGAGCCGGCAGAGCTGGGTCCCACTCCTGGGGAAAGGCACAGCCTAGGAAAGTCCAGTCGGGGGTCTCACTGAGTGGCCCTTCGCATCCGCTGCCCCCATCCAGTGCCAGACCGGAAAGGATACGACTGATGCTTCAACAAGTGTTTCCTCTTTGATTTCCTCATTTTGGTCTTCTCGGAGAAGGCCCGGGCGAGTTCAAACAGCTTCCTCCGGGTGGCTAGAGGCAGAGAGGCCTGTGAGTCATTCTCCCAGATGATCGCCCCTAGATCTGGGGGAGGCCAGGAGCAGGACCTCCATCTGCCCCTTTGTGGAAGCAGGCCAGCATGGGGGCGGGGCCTAGGGAAGTGACTGGAATTCAGATGCGGGTGCCACCTGGGGAGCGAGGCTGTCATCTCGGGTTGGCCTGCAGGGGCAGCACAGGCCACCAAGAGCCAGGCCCAGACGCTGCAGCCCAAGATCCCAAGATCCGGGTATTCCTTCCCCAGCTGTGACAGACAGAGACTCATTTGGGCTGCCTTTCCTGACTCTACCGCCTTCCCACCCCTCCCCTAGGGGTCGGTGGGTGCTAGGATTTCCATGACTAATCCGAGCTGTCCCCTGAAATGCAGCCTGAAAGGATCCAGCCTCTTTCACAGAAGGTTGTTGGTCTGTGTGTGTCGGGGAGGTTCGGGGGGATGGGAGGGCCATTCAAGGCCGGCAGCACTTTGTGAGAAGAACCCTGAAGCCCTCCTGCCCCACATCGCCCCACCAGACATGAGCTTAGCCAAGGCCACTGCACAATCAGACCGAGCCTCCTCAAGCCCAGAGAATATTAACACTAAAACGGGTGAGGGGATATATAGCACATCATTTTTCTGCAGACAGCTGGCTCAAGAGGATTTGAAACTTAATTTGTATCCAGACTGGGCTGGAGAGGGAATTGAGGCAGGAAGGCTAAGGGAGCCAGCCTGCGATTAAAATGTCATTTAGGTTCACTGAGAGCCAGCTGCATTAAAAATTCCGGGTGGCTTCCCCGCCTCCCCAAGCAGGCCACGGGGCCTGTCTCCAAAGGGCTGGGGGTGATGGGTTAGACTCACATTTTCCCATGTGCTTCAACTTGTCCCTGAATAAGGCATCTTCAGACACAGCAGGGTTGGCATCACCGGTTCCTGAAAGGAGGAAACACCTACTGAGGGGATGGACCCTTGGGAGGGTGGCTATCCCCACAGTGGCTGTTACAGCCCTCTCCTCCCATTTGTGGAAGGCTGCAAAGAGCAGGCTTCTTCCCTAACCAGAAGGGGAAGCGAGGAAGATGGTTGATTTCTAGGAGCACTTCTTCCCCCCTGAGCCTTGCTGCTCTCTATGGAAAATGGGGATGGTCTTATGGCCTCTGTGCATGGACAGCCAGCTCACGTGGGTCCTGACTGACTGCTTCTCTGCCAACTCCGTGCTCCATGAAGTCACATAGGTAGCTTGAGATCCACCATGGCAGGAGGATTTACACACGGGAGTCACCAGACACTACTTCTGGCTTCCCCCACACCCAGGGCCAGCGGTTTAACATTCCCCAGCACCGCCAGCCGGCCTCCATCCTGACCTGGGGGAGAGATGAGAGGCCATGGCACAGAGCTGGCACTCCTTCCCTGGCCACCCTCCCTCCTTCCTCCCAGCTCAGCCTCCTCCAACACTCCTCCCAGACACAGTTTCTGGCTTCTTAGACAAAGAGTAGGGTGAGGATGGGGCTGGCCCTAGGATCAGAACTCAGTAGCCACCGGGTCTCCCCAGCCCACTCAGCACCCACTTGGGTCTCTCACTGTCCTTCTAAAGCCCCTGCTCTCTATCCTGCAATTTGGCTAATCCCAGAGTCACCTTGCTTGCTAAGTCCCCTCTGAGTCATTCTGATCCATCTCTGCAGCCCTGGTGCCTCTAGTTAATTCAGGATCAAGGACAAAAGGCTCTGGTTAAAACTCCCAGATGCGCATCTGGTAGGGCCTAAGCTCCTGGCCTGCTGCTTCTGAATCAGTGCTATGGGATTTTCTCTCTTCAAGCAGGGATCAGCTGAGCTCCCCATCCTTCTGCTCCCCAACCCCCCACTGCACCACGGATAAAAGGTCTGTTCCAGGCAGAAGCCGCAGAGCCCTTCTCTGAGACAGGGATGTGTGGAGTGGCTGAGTGGAGACTGACTAGGGGCCATGTACATACGCAGGCAGAGTCCAGTGGCCAAGAGCGAAACCAGGGCCTTCTAGGCCTCTGCCCCTTCTTTCCAGTTCCAGCAGAACCCTCTGGTCCGTGCACCCCAATTACACCACTGCCCACCCCAATCCTCCTTCAGCTGTTAGGGTTCCTCAGCAGAGGAGCCCAGTGCTCTTTTAAGGCCTTTTTTTAAAAATTTGCTATTGGGGGCTAGCAAGTGGCGAGGAGGTTAAAGTGCTGTATCCCACATGGTCAGTTGCACAGTTCGAGTCCTAGACCCACCGGCTTGAAAATCACTGGTTGATTTGGGTGCATGTATGTGTGTTCCCAAAATCCGAGAGGAAATTGGAGGAGAGATTGCAGTGTGGTCCCCCCCGCCCCCAGGGTGATTTCCTACTTTCCCTCTGTCTCTCTGGCAAGTGCATGCACCCTGTAGCTAAAATAAGATGGTACAGGGCCTGTGTTCTGGCAGGAGAGAGGCAGAGAAAGAAGTGCGGCAAGTCCTCTTCTAGCCTGTCTCTGGGCACAGCTGGGGAGTTGGCTGGCCTATGCCAGCCCATCACAGCCGTGGGCTCAGAAAGCCCAGGTCACTGGAAGAACCCAGAGCTGCTAGTTGGAGCCGGGAGCAGAAGCGTCCCCTCCAGCCTCGATCTATTTCCTCATCTCTCTCCAGATACTCAAAGCCACATGGGGGTGTGAGCTCCTGTGCCCTAAGGCTTCTCTCCCAGGAGGGCAAGGTTACCTGGGACAGGTGAGGGAGAGACAAAGTCGGTCCCCACAGCCGTGCTGCTGGATTTGCATTTCTGGGACTCGTATTTCAATCGATCTGGAAAAGGACCATGTGCCAGTCAGGAACGTTAGGATGAGAGCTTGCGTGTGTAACGGAACGTGTGTTACCCACTGGGGCGCACTGGGCTGAAACACACACGCGTGTGCGCACACACACGCAATACGCATGCACACAGTGTCTTCACACAATGTCTTCTAGCTCTCAATGAGCCAGGGACAACAGGGAAGCTTCTGCCTGGCAACCACCTGGAATATTGGGATGTTGAAATCAGAAGGACCCCGGGAGATCATAGAGCACAAACCCCTAATTCACAAGGAAAGGGCGTGAGACCTCCAGAGCCAGCCCTGGGCCTCTTCCTTCCCATCCTGGGTTCTCCGTACATAATTTGCTCCTTCCCCACCACATACCACCAGTCTCTCTCTCTCTCACACACACACACACACACACACACACACACACGGCCCTCTAAGACAGACCTCCACAGCCTTTTCACTGGACCCTAATCCAAACATCCTGCTACCCTGAAGGAGAAAGGCAGCCAGTCTGAAGGGCAGGAACCCATACCCAAAGACAACCCAAACACCCAAAGCACGAGAGCTCCACTCAGGGAGCCCCCCAACTCTGGCACCCATGGACCCAGCCACTCCAATCCCAGGGCTCCAGACCCATCATGTCTGCCTGGTGGCCGATGCTCTGTGAAGGGCACTGTGCTTATCCCACAGGTCAGGCCAGCACCTGTACAGAGCAGATGTGAGGGGGAAGAGAGAGAGCCTAACTGGTCACAGCACTCCTCTCTGGGTCCTGGGGCAGGAAAAAGAAATGGCTGGTGGCCTGGGCCCCCACTGGCAGGATTCTGGGTGGAGACCAGGCCTCAGTAGGTCAGAAAACCCCTGAGCCCTTGGACTCTGACCCAGGGCTCTCCAGTGCCCCCAGGCTAAAGCAATATCACCTCCCTTCTTCAGCCCCAAAAAGTGGCTGCAGCACCCCTAGCCATGCCCACCTCTCTCCAGGGCAAGGAGGAAGTCACGGTTGCGCTGCAGCTCTTTCATGAACTCCTCATTCTGCAGGAACAGCGCGATCCGCTCGTCCTCCAGGTACTGCTTCCAGCGGCTCTCCTGGTCTCGAGTCCCGGGCCCGGCAGTGGGAGGCGGACCCCGCTCTCTGCTCAGAGGCCTGGGGCCCCCAGTGTTACCCTGAGAAGGGGTAAGCATGTTGAATGCCTACTCAGCCCCTGAGGCCCGCACCTCCTCTGGGACCTTGTGGACAGCCAAAACGCAACATACCAGGTCATAGCCCCCTCTTGCTGGGGAAGCAGCAAGGACTTCAAAACAGCCTTTCTGCCTCACCCTTGCTCCTACAACCTGAATAGCCCTGAAAAAGGATTCACAAACTGCTCACCCACCTGTACACAGACTCCCCCAACTCGAACCTCTCCCTGCACAGCTGCCTCAGGGACAGAACCCACTTCTGCAGGGGTACATTGAGGTGTGCCAGCATCTGGGGAGAAGCTACCTCTGGCCCCTTCCCAAAGGAGGGAAGGGTGGTGCCCAGGCCTCTGCCCTTGGCTGTCCCCTGCCCACCTCTCTGGATCCAGCCTGAGGTGGTGGCTGTAGCCAGGGGCTTCCTCAGGCTGTCACCTGCCCCAGGGCAGAACAGGAAACCCTCCAGGCCCAGACTGGAAGTGAGGCTTTCACTTCAGCTTCTACAAACCCGGGGCAACAGAAATAGCTCAGCCTGGGCTTTCACATCAGGAAGTGAAACTGGCTGGCACAAATCGTGTGGGCAAACAGCGCTGCCAGACGGGCCCGCGGCGGGCACAGCGGGCGGCCCCCCTTACCTGCACGCTGCCCAGCTGCTGCGGCAGGATGCGGAGAAAGTCGTCGGGGAGGTTGCCCAGCAGCGGTGGGTTCCAGTTCCGATAGCGCCGCTGGCTTGAAGGGGGTCCGGAGCCCAGTATGTCGATCCTGGAGGGGGTGGGCAGTGGGGAGGAGGCAGCAGTCAGGCCCAACGGCCAGTCAGACCCATGGCCCCGGGTCTTCAGGCAGGTCACGTCCCGCTCAGGACCTGCTCAAGCCCAGTGGCTTCAGGACAAGGTCCAGCTCTTGTCTCATCACAGAGACGTCTCAGCTGCCCCCACAGACCCCTGCTCTCCAAGCACTCAGCCCCCCACAGGACTCCAGACCTAGAGAGCCCTCTGTTCATGGAGCAAATGCTGAACATCGTGGGTTCAGACACATGTTGGTGGATGCCCTAAAGACAGCAGGGACCACATCTTTTCGTGTTCCTAATGCCCAGCGCAGGGCTGAGCTCATGGCTGCTGAGAGTAGCAGGTATGTCCATGAGTAGGTACACGCTGCCCACAGTCCCGCCTGCCTGCACGTGGGGAGGGGCACGCGGGGTCGCCAGGATCCCTAGAGAGAATAAAGCAGATGGGCTGCAGTCCGGGTTCAGCTCTAAGTCAACAGGGTGGTCTGGGGTGAGACCTTGTTCCCTCCCCAAGGGCTTGGTTTCCTCATCCAGAAACTGCCCCCTCCCTGCCTGATGCTCGCAAAAGCCCTAACTTGGGGAGGCTGTGTCTGAGCAGTGTTTTTTTTTGTTTTGTTTTTTGAGAGGTTTTCGCTATAGGGCGCGTGCGCTCGCCAGACAGAGAGATAGAAAGCGAGAAATCACCCCCTAGAGGGGATGGTCACGCCACAATCCCTTCTCCTCCATTCTCCTCTCGAGATCTTGGGCATGCACGCACACGCGCCCGGCATGAGTTTTAAGCCACTGGGTCTGGGATGCGAACCGCGGTCGACTACGTGGGAGTCCAGCGACATAGCCATTGCGCTAACTGCTGGTTCTCTGAGCAGTGTTCTTAAAGGCCTGGGGAGACGTGAGAGTGGAAGGGCTCTTCTTCCTAGGCCAGGTCCAGGACAGGAGGTCTGGGCCAACAGCCAGGCAAGGGGCCGGAGAGGAAGAGAGGCCGCGCCTCACGCCCTGCCTGACCCCAGGCCTGCGCCCTGCCGCCCCGCCTGAGGAGGGCGGCCTGGAGCCCGGCCAGGAGCTCCCCACAGCTCCTCGGTAGCCTGCAGCGTGGCAACCGCAGGACACGTGTTCTGCTGAATCAGGGAAATGACACACTGAGGAAGGCAGCCGAGGGCCGGGGGCGGTGGGGGCCGTTCTCGCTCCCGGCCTGGCTTTGATTTGGTCTCCAGCTCCAGGAATCCCGCCCGCCCCCTCAGTGGAGGGGAGCTTTTCCGGGCTGCCGCTGACTATGGAAATAACTTCCTTTCCTTTTCTATTTTGGGCGGGTGGCCGGCGGGGGAGGGGCAGGGGTGCACAGACGGAGAACCAGCTGCTAAGTGCATGGCGAATGCAGCGCTCCAGCCTGGAGCCGAGGAATCCCCGGCTCCCTGGGCCACCCTCTACTTACAGACCGGCGAGCTGGAGAGCTCGCTTCTTAACCGGGACTCCCATTCCTAGGCCGGGTTTGCTACATCGCTCTGCCACCCTCTGTCACTGGTGAAGGCTTCCTTTTTCTCTTTGGGCCTGAGAGGCAGGAGAAAGGATACCCCATCTCTCAGGGACTCCCAGACCACCTCCAGCACTGTGGGGAGAAAGGCTCTCCTGTCTTCCTTGGGCCTCAGGGTCTTCATCTAGGACATGGGTACCCACTCCCCCAACTCGGCTACACCTCGATCCACCCAAGAAAGCGGCAGAGGGAAACCCTGAAGTTGCGTTTGGACCCTTTATCCACTGTGTTACTGAGACTCCGAGTGCCAACGGGGACAAGGTGGAGAGTCCTTGATCCTGGAGGCCCAGCCCAGGCCCTGGCTAAGATGAGGTCACAGGCAGCCCAGGCAACTCCACTGTGGTTGCGAAGGAATGTCAGAAATGAGTGGGAGGCAGATACAGACTTCCAAGGCTGTAATTTCAATGGAAAAACGACAGGCGGCCATGTGGAGGGGTCCCTGAGTTTCAGACTCTTTCAAATACAGGGAGGGAAGGACAGGCTGGGGGAGAGGGAGGAGAGAGGAACTCCTGACCCTAAGACCTCCCCAGTTGTCCCTAAAACTAGAACTTAGAGCCCCATCCAGTTCTCGAGTTTACCCAATGGGCTCTCAGATCCAACCAAGAAGCATTTCAGAGACAGGCTTTCCAGGTGGGATTTATAGAAAGACTGGACATTGAGCCCAGATGGAGGCAGGCTCAGTCCGGGACACAGGGACCAATCAGGAAGACCTGGCATTCCAGGCATGCTCCCCAGGAATGGCCCTGTCTCTGGGACCCAGCTGGGCCAGGCCCAAGCTCCCAAACTGTGTCCTGCCCACAGGCTCTCAGGCACCCCAGTGACTAGAGGTGAGAAGGGAGCCAGAACATCTCCCCTCCACAATCTGAGACTCTGAACACACCAGTCTGACCACTTCACCTTCCATGGAAGTCCCTTCGGCAGCTCCTCGCTTGCTGCTGGGTAAGCACGAGACTTCTTGGAGGGTCACGGTTCTCATCTTTCCCTCTCTGCTTGCTTCTCCAGACTTGCCCGGCCGTGCCGTACTTCAAGGACTTCCCACATGGTTCCCTCTCTTCTCCTCCAGGCCTTTGCCTGGAAGGCCCTCCTGTCCTCTGCTTCACCAGACTAGTGCCAGTGTGGCCATCCGGTAGCAGCATGAACATCAGCTCCTCCAGGTGGCCTTCTCTGTCTCCTCCCCAGTCCAGAGCTCCCCTAGACTCTGATCTCCTTGCGCGGAACAAGACAGTGCTGTCTTTATCAACGGTGCTTCACCGTTTAGCACCTGTGTTGCAAGTGACTTGATAAATGCTGGAAATTAATGTGGAAGGAGAGACTGAATGAGGTCCTAGAGATGGCCTAGGGGAGAGCTGGGTCTAGCAGGGCCATCTGAGACAAAGGGGCACGTGTCTCTTCTGAGCACTGGCCTCTGGGGGCGGTCTTGCCATGGGTCTCAATGTTTAATATGAGAACTGCCCTCAGAGGCCAGCCAGTGCAGCGGGGCAGGAAGGCGCAGTAAACCACTGATTATAGGTCTGATGCATGCCTGGCACCGTGTTCAGTGCTCCACGCTCAGCATTCATTCAATCCTCCCAGCAGTGCTGAGGTGGGAGTCAGTGTTCCCATTGCAGAGGAGGCAAATGACACTCAGAGGGGTTAAGTGATGAAGCAAAGGCCACACAACAGAGGCACCTGAAGCAGAGGCTCCCTTCAGGTAGTTGAAGGAAAGGGGTGGAGAAAGTGATCTACTTCTCTTTTGTCCCTGTACCTACTCCCTGCCCAGCAAAAGCCTTCATTTCTGGGTTGCTCCCCTGAATTTCAGGCAGAAGCTCTAACTTTTCTGAAGTCCATGAGACCTGAACAAGACCTCCTGAACTTTGGTCTAGTGCTGAGGTCACCACAGCACCAAGTAGGGCTCCCATCACTGGCTGCACTGCCTCCCTCCCAGCCTACTCCACCCACAGCAGGGTGAATACCAGCCAGAGTAGGGAGGAAGGATGTGGCCAGGATTCCCACGTCAGGTTTACACAGGGATTCTCTCTCTTATGGCCTCAGTTTTCCCTTCTGGGAAAATAAAACAGGGCGGAACCACTCTGTTGAACAGAAACTGAACTTTTTGCAAAAACTTGGTGGGATATTTAAAAACAGAAATTGGAGATGGGGCCAGCAGGTGGTATGGTGGACTCTGGACTCCCATATGATTGGCCGTGGTTCGAGCCCCAAATCTGGCAGCTGGAAAATCACGCTGGACTCATGTGTGTGAATGCCCGAAATCGCAGGAGGAGAATGGGAGGGAGAGAGGAGATTGCAGCATAGCCATCCCCTGGGGGGAGTAATTTCTCACTTTTTCATTCACTGTCTCTCTCCAGAGACTGCATGTGCCCATGGCAAAAACCTTAAATTAAAAATAAATTAATGAATTTAAAAAATCATAAAAGGGAGGCCAACAAGTAGCATAGTGGTCAAGGTGCTGGACTCCCACATAGTTGACTGCAGTTTGGGTCCTGGACCTGGTGGCTTGAAACTCATGCCAGACATGTGTGTGTGCATGCCCAAAATCCCAAGAGGAGAATGGAGGCAAAGGGATTGTTGCGTGACCATGCCTCCTGGGGGGATGATTTCTCACTTTCTGTCTCTCTGTCTTTCCGGCAGCCACATGAGCCCTATAACAAAACATCTCTCAATAAATCAATAAAAATAAATCAGAAAAGGAAGCAAGATAGTGGCAAAATGGTAAAACAGGACACTGCCTGGCTGACTCACATAGAAAGTTTCCAGGTTTATGTCGAGAGATCTCTTGGCACCTGTGTGACCTCTATCTAGGACTGGCTGAGGCTGGAGGTGGATCATGAAATCAAGACCTAGCTGTGGGGAGGGGGAAGGGCAGCAGGTAGCATGGTGGTTAAGGTGCTAGACTCCCACACGGCCGACTACAGTTTGAGTCCTGGATCTGGCAGCTTGTTTTCTCACTTTCCCTCTCTCTCTTTGTCTCTCCCAAGTGAGCATGCATGCCCTGTAGCAAATTTAAAAATAATAATAATGAGGGAGCAGCAGCTGGCATAATGGCTATGTCCCTGGACTCCCATGTAGTCGACCACGGTTAGAGCCCCATACCCGGTGGCTTAAACTCACACCAGGCACTTGTGCATGTGTGCCCAAGATCCTGAGAGAATGGAGATTCCAAGAGGAGAATGGAGGAGAAGGGACTGCGGTGTGGCCATCCTCCCTGGCGGGTGATTTCTCTCTTTCTGTCTCTCTGTCTCTCACTGTCTCTCTGGTGAGTGCACACATCCTATAGCAAAAACCTCTCAAAAAAAAAAAAAGATAAATAAAGCTAAATAATTCTTTTTTCTTTTTTTTTGGAAAGGTTTTTGACTCGAACCACAGTCGACCACATGGGAGTCCAGCGACATAACAATTATGCCAACTGCTGGTCCCAAAACTAAATAATTCTTAAGGAAAAAAGAAAAAGGACCTTGTTGCAGATGGATGCTCTCTCTCTTGCTCATGGAAGAAAGAAAGATATATAGGTTGCATTTGGACATATATATTATATATGGCTATATATATAATATATATAGTCATTGGAAAAATCATGATGCATTTTTGCATAGGAAAACAGAAAAATAGGGGCTGGCAGGTGATATGATGGTTAAAGGCGCTGGATTCCCACATGGCTGACAATGGTTCAAATCCCAGACCTGACGGCTTGCTTTCTCACTTTCCCTCTCTCTCTCTCTCTCTCTCTCTGTCTCTTTCTGGTCAAATTTTTAAAAATAATCATAACAACAACAAATGGATTTAAATAAATAAATCTTTTTTAAAAAATGAAAAATATAAAAAAATACATCATGACTTTTCTAATTACCATATATATGTGATATATAATATATATCTATTTTAAATATATATATATATTTATTTATTTATTTTTAAAGTAAAAGAAAAACAGTTAGCCCCAGGCTCTGTGACCCAGTCTGTAAGTCCTGCCCAAGCCTCACCCAGACCCACCTACTTACTCCTTACTTCATACCCCAGTAGAGTCTGCTGTCTCCCGGGACCACTTGAGATACAGCCCTTAGCTCTGCTCCTGTCCCTGACTCAAAGCACTGCCCCTCCCCCAGCTTTGAGGAACCTATCAACTCCCTAAGTTGCAGTCACAAGATTTTTCTCATTAGGGAGGTGACAGGACACAGAAATGAAGAGTGATCCACGTTGAAGTTGGAATTACTTGGATTCAAATACCAGCTCTTAGTCTTGGGGAAGTTATGAAACCTCTCTGAGGCCCAGTGTCCTCATCTGTAAAATGGGTATGATAATAGTGTCCTCCTCATAAATTGTTAGATGCATTAAGTGTGATGGTGCAGGTAAGGAGCCTGTCGGTTTCTGGCCCTTGAAGGGTGCCTAGGCAATGGTAGCTGTTATAATGAGCCATACCTGTCTGATAACAGAGTTCTCCACCACCACTGCCCTGGGGGGCTCCCAAGATTCCCAGCAGAGAAGACCCACTGGAGCAAGCCCATCTCATCCTCTCCCCTCCCGTCATTATCCCAGGCTGAGTCAATCTAACGGCCTCTCTAGGACAGAGAAGCAATAGCTTCAATCTAGTAGCCTCCACACGAACAAGGAGCCCAGAAAAACAAGCACCTCAGAGCCCCCATGGGACCTTACTGGCAACAAGCTTCACTTTAAACTTCCAAATTACACAGCCCCCAACCTGGAATAGATCCCTAGGGACCTCATAGCCTATTCCCTTCCTCTAGGTATCACACTACCCCAGAAAAAGAGACTTGCTCCCATTGCTTAAAAATCCTCAGGGCAGAGACCAACAAATGACTTAATGGTTATGTCACTGGACTCCCAAGTAATTGAACACAGTTCAAGTCCCAGACCTGGCAGCTTAAAACTCACACCGGGTATGTTTTGCACACATACCCAAAATCCCAAGAGGAGAATGGAGAAGGGATTGCGGCATGATCTTCCCCGCTGGGAGATGATTTCTCACTTTCTGTCTCTCTGTCTTTCTAGCAAGTGCACATTCCCTATAGCAAAACAAAATCTAAAAAAAAAAAAAAAAAAAAACCTGGAGGACATCCCTAGCCCAGGGATGGTGAACAGAAAGCCATTCCATCAGCAGCCATGTGTTGAGGAGGAATCCGAGGTCCTGTCCTGACACAGCAGGAGCGTGCATGGTGCTAATTAGGCATGCTTGCCACAGGCTCCGGAGGGGAAGTGTCAGTAACATCACGGTGTTTGGCACTCCTACTCTGGCATGACAGAGTCCCTTAGTCCCAGAAAGCAAAGGCTGAGCCCTGCTTCACTGAGTGTCCTGTGTGGTATGCAGCATACCACCTAGCCTAGAGTAGGAATTTAGTAGATATTTGCTCTCACAATTCTGGTATTTTGACAGCTTGCCCTGGGCCTAGCTAAGTCTCCTGGTGCAACAGAAGCCGGTTTGTGGTGGAGTAATAGACTGAGGAGGTCCAGCCAAGCTTCCTACTGTGTCTGTACACAGCCCAGACCCCTGATCTCCTTCCCTGCTACCCTGCTCTCCGAAAGATGGATTCTCACCGGGGAGGTGGAGTGGGGGGAGCCAGAGGGTAAGGCCTGTCGAACATGTGCATGTGGTAGGCTGGCGGGGAGTACACAGGCGGGGGCTCTTCGTCGGAGCTATCAGGTTCCAAAGTCCTTTCCAAGATCTAAATCAGAGACAACAGAGAAAGAAATATTAATAACCCTTCACTGAATTTAAATAACATCCAGACAAAACCAAGTGTGGGCGAGGATGTGTAATGAGGGAACTCTGGGCATGGCTGGTGGGAGTGTAAATTGATATAGTCACCGCTTTGCAAGACTGTGCGCGTTATCTACTAAAGCTAAACACATGGCCACCTCTGACCCTGCAATTCCAGCACACTCACCAGGCATGAAAGGACATGTCCCCGAGAGAACGTTCACAGCGGTATCAGCCATCCAAGTAGGGTTCAAAGACAGGCAAAACAAACACACGGCGGTGGAAGTCAGAGCCTGTGACCTCTGTGGGGTGGGGAAGGACAGGGAGGGACCGGAGGGGGATTCCAGGTGCTGTTGCCACTGTCCCTGGACCTGGAGGCTGACACAGTGGAGTGTTCACGCTGTGAAACTTGGCTGAGTTGCACACGCGGGGTTCACGCTCTCTTCTATTCCACCGGGTCGTCAGAAAAGTCATGACATATTGTTCTGGTTTTCTAAGCAAAATGTGTCATGGCTCGCCCCACGACACAATATATAATATGCTGTTCCTAAGAGCCTCATTCATACCCTCTCTCAAAGTACTTCCACAGCTGTGATCTCATCCTAACCTCAAACAGTCTGCCTAGGCCGGAAATGGATCATTTCCCCCACATTACACAAGAGGAAACTGAGGTACGGACTGCCTAAAGGATATGGCAAAAGCCCTACACTGAATCTTTGATTTGGTCTCTGTAGCAAGGGTCTCTCCTCCAACTGTGGTGTCCGCACACCAGGGTTTGATTCTCAGGGTGGGCAGTGGCAAAGGGAATGCCCAGGATGCCTGTTCTCCCTCCTGGACTCCTTTCTTCATCCAGGAGCCCAAAAGAGGGGCCGAGGACTTGGGTTCTTGCTCACAGACTGACCTGGATCCTTCCCAGAGACCTACCAAGGAGTCTGAGACAGGAGACAGTCACTGACCAGGAGGTGCCTCCTTACATATCCCAATGACCTACACGTACACTGTACACCTTGCTCCCACTCCTCTCCTCCTCACAGCTCTGCCCTTCTCCTCCAAGACCAAAGAACAGGAAGGGCTCAGGGACGGTGAAGAGTCCCCAGGGGGATTTGCAGTAATCATTGCTCCTGCCTCTGCAGGTCAGTGCCGGGCCCAGCTGCATTGACACGAGTCTGCTCTGAGAACAGTCAGGCTCGGCACATGAAGCCTTGCAGACACCCTGGCTTGTGGGCATGCAAATGTGAGCGTGTGCATGCAGACACACACACACACACACACACACACACACTCTCTCTCTCTCTGCAGGGCTCTGTGCACACACAGCCAGCCCTACCCAAGGAGGCCTCCTGCCCTGGAATGCACTAATGTTCTTTCCTTTGAGGCGGAAAGTATTTAAACAGATGCTTCTGCAGGAAAAGAAGAATGTGGCTGCTTTGCGGGCCACTGCGCTGCCTACTCCAAATTTCCACAAGCAGGAAGAGAGAGAGCGAGGACGCTATGAGCTCTGTTCCTGTTCGTGGCAAGTCTGGCTGGCACAGGGCGGGGGCTCGGTGAGTACCTGGTGCGCAGAGAACTTGCTCTGCTGTGTCCTAGCCCACAGGCCCCTGCCTTGAGGGCTAGGGTTCCAGGCCAGGCCTTGAGGCCAATCAATGGTGGCTGGCCTCGGTGGCCCATTTGGCCTGTTCCCACTGAGGCTGGTTTGAGTGAGCCTGCTGAGGAGCAGGGAGAGCA